CGGACTCAAACAATGAATGATGACTTTACATTTTTAATCTTTACTTACCATAAACCGTCTTTCACTCGCACTCGCTTCCATCTGAAGATGCTGAGAAAATGGCGGCTTCTCGCACTGGTGTCGTCGAGATACGTCCGATGTTAACGTGACGTGCGTGCTCTCTTTCACGTCCGCGTTCCCAACCCAGCACCGCTGGGTTATTGATCAAGACCAATTTTCAACCCAACGTCCTTACCCATAGGTCTCAACCCAGCATTTGGGTTGAAAAAAACAACCCAGCGTTTTTTTAGAGTGTATCGACTTTCAGCAAGTAGATTCATATAGAAAGGTGTTTATAAATGTATCTAAATTGAAATATAAATTTATTCCCGAGACATTTGAGGTTATATGTTGAGGCAACTATCAAACAATAAAACAAGCTACCTCAGGTCAGCTCTAAATGATTTCTTAGCTAAAAGTTTATAAGAGCCTTTCTAGTTGCATGGACTTTCTTTAAACATTCTCAGCATGTTGTAGCATACAGAGATGTTCCACATGACAGCCTTTCCTCTGCCCTCTGTGCCGACCTGACAGCATCTGGGGGCGGGCACTGCTTCTGAAGAAGTCTGCTGATTATGTTTGTGATGTGAGCTGTCATTTCAGCGGTTCCCCACCTGTGGAGTCCAGGTGCAGCACTACATTCATTTACAACACACTGAGAATTAGTCTAACAGCTCTAGCCAGGAGAGGACAGACTCCACAAGCCACCGGCAGGGCAGACCGGAGTGAAATAAATGACCATTTTCACATAGAAGAATTGAGACGGAAGAGAGGAGTCAGTCCTCTGCACATGCCTCCTCAAATTAGGTGCCACCTGTAATTCAGTTACCCACAAATCTTCCACCAGAACCCTTGCCTTTGAGGCTGGCGTGGTATTAGTTATTAGCTACAGGAGCGCTCTGAGGACAGTGCTGGAGACAGGAAGAGGCATATGTCAACTCCCAGGGGAATAGGTGCTAATCTCTGGGTCTTAGTTGAGTCTGACTTGCTGGAGATGATGCATCCGATTTATGATGACAGGGATGCAATGCTAGAGCTATAGGTCTTCTGTTGACCTTGACACACATGAGACGAGAGTACCACGGGGCAATGGTGAAGCAGAGCTGAAAAGACGGAGAAAATACTATGCTTTACCTAAACTAAAAACAAGCCCCTGAAATGGAGGAAAGACTGACATGAACATGACAACAAACTGAGCAGCTGATTGGATTGACAAGACAATGAATTCAGAGTCAAAGTCTCAGTCGATTTACTGTCATTTGTCTGCTGTGTGGTCTCCTGGAGCCATGGTGCAGACCATGTAGTTGATATTTACAAGACAACCACTTTCACAAATTACCATAAAAAAAAAAAACGGACACAGTTATGGGCTATACATGGAAAAGTGCTGCATTAGACACTGCATTAAACATGCATATTTGCATTAAATAAATGTTTTGTATTTTGTTTCATATAAATCGATTCACTTTCAATATATAAAACCATTTTTAATTATAATTTATTAATGCAATGTTTAATTTATTTTTTTACATTTTATAATATTTCAGTTTTGTATTTTATTACAATTATTCAATTAGTTTCTTACATCTGGAAGACTAAGTCCAAAAATATGGGCAATGTAATAATTTAGGGAGTTTCCCCATGTATTCTTTTTCCCAAAATGAGAAATATAGAAATAGTCCTATCTTTACATAAAACATAATCATTTAAAAATGAAGGTGATTATGATAGTAATAATACTACTACTGCTACTGCTACTGCTACTACTGCTGCTGCTGCTGCTGCTGCTGCTGCTGCTACTACTACTACTACTACTACTACTACTACTACTACTACTACTACTACTACTACTACTTACTTGTCACATTTGTCACATACTACTACTACTACTACTACTACTACTACTACTACTACCCATGACAGACAGGAAAGGTAAATGTCTCTCTTTTTTATTTTCTGCTCATTGACTGAAAAAAAAAATGTACTGGTAATTTTCTGCCAGGAATTTAGTAATTTTAGTAAAAATGTAGTAGTTTAATGAACATTTATGATAACAATGCAACCCACAATGCAATGAATAGCATTACAAGTAAAACCTGTACAAAGTAAATATGAATAATTCCTGCATATTAGTACATTATGACCTATTTTTACAGATTTTTTACAGTGTACATAAGTGTTGTAATTTAAAAGAAAATGTAACAATTTATTTTATCTATTAAAATAGTAATAATAATAATAATAATAAAAAAATAAATAATAATAAACTTGATTCCATTGAGATTCAGGGGAAAACAGCTTGATTTTTTATTGGTTTCATCCTTGACATCATCCAGTGTTAACCCAGGTTAAACAGTCCCTTATTCTGTGTGGTCCACTGGGATTTGGCTTTTCCTGTTGCTCGAGGCTCACCTGGGGCCTAAACACCTTGACTAAGCTCTAACTGGGGCATGAGCTGCACTCATGCACACTGCCTGCAGAGCACACTCACTCATATATGTGCAGGTTT